TCGAGAATCCGATTCCCATAATCACTATTCCGGCCATTAATAGTCTTTCGGAGTATTCGTAGTATTGATATACAAATAGCAGTATATTTGAGACAATGACGAGAATTAAATTAACGTAAATATAGTTTTTAGTCCAAAATTTTATGGCAACAACAAAGTTAATTAAACAAAATATGGCAAAAACACCATTCAATAGGCCTAACATTAGGGAACTCTTAGACGCAGACATCGGTTGATACGAATCGGACAAAAATGTAGGGATGAGTTGGAAATTCATAATTTCTAGTCCAACAAAGGGTCCGATTACAAAAATTCCGAGTGTTAGGTAAATATAATCCCATTTCTTTGATTGAGTAAAACTGGTTTCCTTCTCGACTTTTATGGGAGGAATATATTTGCGATAAAAGTGTAATATTATTAACAGAAGCGACGATATTAGGAGTAAAACAGCGTTTATAATAAAAGGCACTTCGAGTCGCTTTATGTTAACAATTGTTGGATTTATAATAATTGTTGAATTAATTGACACATAATTGGTATTAATATTAGTGAGAAAAGGGGCTGAGATTAGGGGCGCTATACAGTTGCCAATAGCGAAGAACAATTGAGCGCCTCCTAAATAAAGGCTTGATTTTTGATTCCAAAGCTCTACAATCCATACAATGATTGCAATTTCAAAACCTAATAAAAATAGTAATCCTATATATTAAAAATAATAATTTATTAATGCTTTCAAATATATACAAACCTCCGCTCGAGAAGCCGCAGATCCCAAGCACTGTAAACAATACGCGAAGGTTTGGACAAATGGGTATCACAGCGACGGTTACGGCCATCAGGAATAGATGAAACGCCAAAACCAATTGTCGGTTAATGTAATTGAAAACATAACCACCTTTTATGTGAAATATAAAATATTTTAACTTATTATTATATTTTTGATTATATTTCTCCACACACTGTGGCTGTAAATCACTGTAAATGATTACAGCATAACCAACAAGTCTGATAAAAAATAAGATATTTTGCTGCTCACATTGTTAGAAATTTTTATGCATTAATATTATTAATTCAAATTGAATAATTTATAAATCTGCAATATATATATTTAAACAACAAGCATAAATACTATAAAGTAAAATAAGTATAAAACAATACAAACTAATTATTGCTCCGATAATATATCCGATGTAAAAATATAAGAAAATAAACGATAGCGAAGATGTGGTCGTATTCAATAAAATTTGTAAATCGCTTAACGCTGGAGCTGTTATACTAACAATAAGTCCCTGGGTAAATTAATATTAATTTATTGATACATATTAAATCATCAAAACTTACATAAGACACGTTACAGAAATACAGAGTCCATGTAATTAACTGTTTGTATTTATTGTCCAATATATGAATATCACTGTTTGCACTCTCAATAGTATAACGATTTC